AATCCGAATCCGAAACCAAATTGACCTACCCAGATACGTAACTTTGTGCACTTTCGCAGGGACGGATAGCCCCTCCCCGCCAATGCTGACATGAGTCCCCTCAATGCTCTTCTGAGTCCTCCCCATTCAGGAATATTGGGCCAGTAAAATGCAGCCAGTATCTAACCTACTGATGCACTAGGTGCCTAAAGACATCACCATCATTATTATCATCATCATGTATCACCATTGTCATCATTACGTCGGCTTTAAATAGTATGGCATTCTTGAACATCAAAACAATTTGGGCACGACCAAATAGTTTTCTCATTATATTTGTTTCAATATTGGGGACGTAAATCAAAGAGATCAAAACCAGGGAAAATCCGGATTTCTGGGGAGGCTAGGTTAACTTGCTTGGGTCAGCGCCGAACTTGTTTTAGAAAATGAACTGCGCTATGATTCGAATATTAAATGTTGCGAATCCTCAGCTCCAATTGGGGCGCCTCCGGCTACAGTCCAGCCCCTCTGCGAGGCGTCCCCGATGCTTCCCCGCTACACCAAAGGCCCGCGCATCGGCGCGCGGAGCCGACGCAGTCCGGCTCGCGCCGACGGCGGGCCGCCCTCGCGTCGGCTCCAGTCGGCTCGGCCCCGCGTCGGCGTCGGCAGGCGGCGGGCCGCCCTCGCGTCGGCTCCAGTCGGCTCGGCCCCGCGTCGGCGTCGGCAGGCGGCGGGCACGCTCTCGCGTCGGCGACGCCGCCCGGGGCCCGGACCATAAAGGGCGGCGCCGGCAGCCGGCGGCCAGTCGGCGGATGGACCTGACGGAGGGGGGCGCCGTAGCCCGACCGCGCTCGCGCCGCTCCGGCATGGAACGCTGTCTGCTGGTGCTGACGCTGGTGCTGCTCAGCTCCAGCGTCGCCCTGGTGCTGGCGCTGACGCAGGTGGTCAAGGGGCCGGCGGTCGAGACGCCGCCGACACCCTCGCAAGCGACGCCCAACGACTCGGCCTCGACGGCTGGTGACCGACATGCCCGCGTCGCGTACTCCCACAGGGTAAGCCGGCGTGTCGACTGGGGTCAGACAGGGTGACGGCGGGTCAAGTGGGGTCAGACAGGGTGACGGCGGGTCAAGCGGGGTCAGACAGGGTAACGATGGGGGGCTGGCCGACTCTGCCATCGCCAGCATACAATGAGGCGAGTTGTGAGCTGGCTGAGTACTAACAGGACCGTTATCCGACTAGGATACGTCGAGGCCATGCATGGGGTCACGGGGGGGGGGGGGGCTGTCCAGTCGAGATGCAGCCATAGCGTCAGCCATGGGTCAGGCGATGTCAGTCTGATAGATGACTGGCGAGGTGATGCTCCTATCAAAACGAAGCGTACAAGTGTGTACGTACGTCATGTGCGCGCAGACGACAAGTGAGGTGAAATGGGGAGGGGTGTAAGCAGTAATCTGCATTGAGGGGGGTCACCTCAAAAGTTTTCTCTGAAAGCCTGGGTTAGGGAGGGGAGGGGGACAACGTGCTTATGTACCTGAATACAGGGTAACATCGGATCGACCGATGTTCGATCGGGCAACTGGCAGTGCTGTCCGTTGGCCATTGTCCGAGCTGCCTGCTCCAGTTTTGTCACGTAGCTCGCCAACAGAGTGGCATACAGTGTAAGATGGGCCCAGTAAAATGGGCCCAGGCCCGTCAAATACCCAGTGTCCCCGTGTTTCATGATACCCGTCTGTTATGGCCAATAACATGGCTATCTCCCAAGCCAGTGAAAATGCACTAAGCTGGGAGACTACACATATGCCGAGTTACGAGCTTTTTGGGTTATTGCCGATCTCATGCCGAAATGAAACGAATCCACAGAAATAAGTTTTATTGCACACTATCACGCTCTGCCATCGAGGCTTTGCATTTATATTGCATCTTATGAATTGCAAATAGATTTGCTCCCGTTGGACCGCTGCTGCCTTTATGAGTTCCTGTCATTAAAAGCGTGTCATTTTTAAATGTTCCGTGCGCATTTCAACCGACTCACAATGATTTCCAGCAGCGCCATTTCTTTGTAACCTGAGCACGCAGATCACGGAAGAGCCCTCGCGAGTCGCCAAGCCATCGCTCTATCATGACCTTAGCATAGCTAGAGCCTTACCCAGACGGGACCGATGCAGGCCGGGACGACCTTTGCTGAGGTCCGGCTGCAGCCGCACCGGTGATCCCGTCTGGACAGTCCCCGGATCACCACCGGTCTAGACCGGCTCGCCGGACGCTGGTGCGGTGGCCGAGCTCCGAAGGCCCCCGCAGCGGGCGCCGCTCGTCCCAAAGCTCTCGCAACAGCCGGCAATCGATGTGGCTGGGGAACAACATCGCTCACGTGGCGCGGTGGAGGTGTATGCGGTGCGGCGGAGTCGGCTGAGTGTGACTGGAGACTGGAACAAACGTCACTGACCAGAGCTCGGATAAGTGGATCCGTTCGCGAAATGCATTGGCGTGGTGCCTTTGGGGCTGGTGCCGTCCGGACTCCGCACATGCCTCGGCGGAGGCGGGCTGTCACTGTGAGCTGCCCGCGAAAAATAACATCAAAACAGGCTGGACGCAAGCAACTCTTCTGTTTAGGTTGTGTTCCAATACCTTTAAATTCGTTCACGCATCTGCTAGATAGACTGACATGACACTGTGCAAACCAAGTCAGCGTGTGCTCTATTGCACGATGAAATGTGCATACAAGTGTGCGTTCGAAATGTAATAATGCCGAAATGAGCTAACTAATGTACTAACAAAGCTGATCGCACTTTGCATTCTTTTGATCCCATGGTGTTCTTACGACTATAATAGAATAATTATTGGTTTTTACTATCATCCGTCACTTTAAGATAACTAATTAAACTTAATGCGAAGTAACTTACGTAAGTTGCTAAATGTATGAGTGAGAAACCTTATGTATATAAATAAGACAGTAGTAATAGCATTTTTCTTTGTACAAAAATCAGGAAATGGAGAGATAGATGCGTTAATATAGACAGAGACAGTGCGAAGTAAAATCGATCTTTGACATGCCATGACTGTCTTTTAGTTTGCAACAAATCAACAGTTCAAAACAAAACAAAAAATCAAAAGCAGTTTATGCTCAAATCCAGCACACAAGCGTGAAGACTTTCAGCTTCTGGTCATTTTCTAGTCAGTATTGTTGAAGTAAAATTAGAAATGCGTTACATAAACCTGGCCTTCGTAATTTTCGCGTAGAATTCAACTTGTGGGGTCTGATAGTATAACGGCCGAGAGCGATAACTGCAGCGGGACTGGCTGAATTTGGGTACGATGCATGGTTTCGTGAGCCATGGCGGATTGTGGCGGTCGCTCCTGGTGATCTGTTATCGAGTGAGGGGTTGTTACGAAAAACAGCAGTCAACACGCGCTCGTGCGGTCGGTCAATTTGCCCCCCCCCCCCGAAGGTTCT